GACGATGATTCAAATATCCCCCTCTATGCAATGCAATGAAGACCGCACCAGGAACGCGAGATGAAGGTGGTGAGATCCCACTCTATGCTGTGCTTGAAAGACTTCATGCATGGCTGATTGTCAACGAAACGAAGTTAAGTCTGTTGTCAATTCTGCTAGTTGCTACGGCAGGCAGCCAGTGAAAACGAATTCGTTTAATAAAATTATGAAAATGCAAGCACTACTTTAAACAAACAGAACTTTGTCATTTCTTGCTCATTTTTCTTGATTAAGGTGTCATATAAAAGGGCAGAAACTCAACTTTCTAGAAATGTGATTTCTCTTTGAAATTCAGATATCGCCCGCCAAATAACTTAATTTTTGGTTTCCTCTCTTCAAATTGATTTTAATCACTCATGCGTGAAATATGCACTATATGAGTTGCAACAAATGAAAGAGGAGGATTTAAGCTTTTTAAATATGTGTCATTTATCAATTATAATTGTGATTAAGTTATGATAAAAAATCGATAATTCTCGGTTTCGTTTTTTCTGGGACGCACTGTATATTTGGAGTTGACTCAGGCAGTTGCCATGACACATGCATCAATCTTTGTGTGCGTTGAATTTAGTGCGATTTGATGCAAATTAAAAATATATGATCTAAGTTTCCAAGCCTTCGATTCTTTATTGAAGATAACTAAAGAGAATATTGAGTATAACATTTCACAAAAGAATGATAAGTTACACTTACCTTTTAAAGAATTGTCTTTTAATTTAGAAACCTAATTGTTTATCAACTCGATAACCCTTTTGTGTAGATATACATCTGGGCACCGTCTTACAAAGAGTTACGATCGATCCAAATCAATCGTAAGTCCTCCAATCAATCGCAAGTTTGCAGTCTCCTATCTCTTATGTACATAGTTACGATTGATATCAATCGCAAATAAGTTACGATTGATATCAACTCTTTGTAAGACGGGGCCCTGGAGAGACACTATTCATGATGTTACATGTAACTGGACTCTAACCATTGCATTATGTACATATATGTTAGTTATGTTTGTGTTTTATAAGTCTGTTTCTGGCTTTCAATGAAAATGTTTTAAAAAAATGAGTGTACACTATTTTCAGTATATATCGTTCATGTGGTACTCCAGATTACTTTGATAAAAACGATTAATAGATAGGAAATTTGTCTTTTGATCTAATCCAAAGTCGAATGAATTTTCTGTAAGGTTCATTTATGTTAAGCTATTCAATTCTTTCCGCATTACATACATTGGACAAAAATAATATTATTTGGAAACATGGACATTTTGAAGAAAAAAGGGTTCTTCGCTAAATTGCGTCGATACTTTATTCAACGGTTTCGATAAACTTAAAAAGATATAATAATAGAAACAAATCAACAGGATGAACAGCAAAGGGATTTACAAAATAATGTAAACGATTCACTAATTGTAAATCCTGTTTGTGACGTTACTTTATAGGTCATCAATATAAGATGATGAAATGAGAAATTTTCAATTTAAACTTATTCATTGAAAAATAGTAACACAACGTTTTCTTCATAAATTAGGTAAAATAAAGAATCTTTAATAAATACGTATTAAAGGGTTTATTAGGGTCAGACAGCCCAAAGGCTATCAATTTCCATTTTCCCTTAATATTTTTTAAATTTTCTTTACTCTTGGACCTTTTGTACCTTTCTTTTTTTCTATAATTATATGTTTTTCTTGGCTTTGTCCCTATTGTTATTCCTTCTCCTTGTATATATGTAATCATCGCAGTTTGTAAACCATTATTTTCACACCTGTCTCTTCCTTAAACTCAACTCACGCTAAAATAGTGGATCCTCTGTTTGACCCCGGCCCTCACCTCGATCCAAGGCATGGATACACCACCTTGAATAATACTTCATTGTCATTTAAGAGGTCCAGGTTTCTCATCGTTTTCCATAAAGAGAGTCTATATAATAGTCCTAGTTTAGTACTCAGAACTACTTCAAATGAGTATCGAAGATACTTACGACATCGAAAACAAAACAAATGATGTAGAGCTCTTCTTTTCTATATTTCTATGGTGTTTTTGTTTTGCTTTGTCCTTATTGTGATCTCTGTTCGTACCCCCCCCCCCCCCATCAAGCCGAGGCATGGATACGCCATTGTAAATAAGTACATTACTGCACTGTCATTTCAAAGATTCACGTTTGTTACAGTTTTCCATAACGAGAGTCTAAGAGGCCTTGTGTAGTACTCAAAACTACTTCAACTGGCTATCGAAGAAACTTGCGACATCGAAAATAAAACAAAGAAATGATATACAGTTCACTAAGCATTACCGGGTATTACTAAATATGTGTTTATTTATATATATATATATCGAATTACAATAGTTTATTCACAATTGGCATGTTTAATGTAGATCAAAAGATTTCTCCTCTATTCTTGTTGACGACCGAAGATTCTTATGACATCGAAAACATAACAAAGAAATGAAATACTCTTCAATAAGCCTTGATATTGCTAATGTAAAGTTCATCAATATTATTCTGAACATGCATCAATATCTATATTCATATGAAAGCAAACGATGTGTCCGCCATGTTTATACTTTAAAACTACTTAACATTGTATTGCTTAAATTAGTAGGCTAAGTTAGGCCTACATCATTAATTTTCTTTTATTTTGATGATTAATTTTGTGAACTCTTCTGATACTGAAGTAACTAGAATTCGACATTATAGGTTAGGCCTATTCTGCATGAGTTGTAAAATGTTTTATTTATTATTTACTTATATTTCACCAGGGTAGCCCATTGAACAAAAGTTGATCTTCCGTTAGGCCTTGAAAATAAATCAAACTTTATACAGTTGAAAGGATAGAATACAACAAAGTAGCATAATTCCAGCAAATATTATTACACATTGTGAACGAATTTGACCGAATTGCAAACAAGATTTAAAACATATATACTTATGTAGTTTCACACAACAAATAAAGAGTTTATACAAATAGAAAATTTAACGCAGAATCGCTAAATATTATATTGTACTTCTCTTCGTGATTTTATTCTAGCATGCGCACATACACATCGTGAATAATTTCCGTAATTCGTTCAAACTGATGGTTGTCAAGAAGTAGGGAACGCCCCCCTCCCCCTATTCTTACTCTCATGATCCTATGCCGAGGGCAAAGTTCTAGTTGAGGGCCGGGCCTGCAAACGGATCCGTGATATAAAAAGAAACGACCACCATGATAACGTTTGGTTTTTACTATATAGAACCATTGTTCAAATTCCGATATAAATTTTTGTTTTAAGTAAAAATTTGAAATCTAAGAAATACAAATTGAAATGTCCTTGACACGTCTTTTGATGTCCTCTGTCATTTGATCTTCAATTTCTATTTTCTCTTTACATAATAGTACACGCTAGATATAATCACTGCACGTTTGCTCTACACAACTTCCGTATAAAACGAATCTATTCCATCATCAACAACTCACAGTGGCGGATTCAGGGGGAAAGGGGGAAGGGGGAAAGAAAAAGAAAAAGGAGGGGAAAATTAAAAGGGGGAAAGAAAAAGGAGGGGAAAAAGAAAGAAAAGGGAAGAGAGAAAGATGAAGAATAGAGGGAGGAGAGAAAAGGGAGAGGAGAAAGAGGAGGGGAAAGGAAGAAAGGGGAGGAGAGAGGAGAGAAAAGGCGGAAAAGGAAGAAAAGGAGAAAGACGGTGGAGAGAAAAAAGGTAAAAGGAGAATAATGGAGAAGTGAATTCAAACAAGGTTTAAGAGTAATAATTTGATGAAACGTCAAAGCTTCCACGCGTCACGCGGGAGGGGCAACTGAATTAAGACTAGGATTAAGAGTCGAGAACGGTACAACGAATCGTCTTCTTTCTCTAATAATTTTAATGAAACGTCAAAGCTTCCGCACTTTGCGCGGGAGGAAGGGAAACTGAATTCAGACATGGATAAAGAGACGAAAAAAGTACAACGAATCGTCTTCTTTCTCTTATAATCAAATAATACGTCATAGCTTCTGCGCTTCGCGCGGGAGGGGCGAAACAAGAACTAAGAGTCGGGAACGGTACAACGATTCGTCTGCTTTCTCTAATAATTTAAAGAAGTGCAGAAAGCTTCCGCGCGGGAGGGGCAACTGAAAAATAACTTAGTTCCTGTCCCGGGTTTATAGGGTTAATTTGGTAGACATTGGGACATTAATTTGTCAGTAATTTGTGGCTAGTTTTGTTGGTAATCGGTGGGCTCAACACCCCCCCCCCCCCCCCCCACCGCTGAAAAAGGGTCTAGCTACGCCCCCGATAACAACACAATTTATACACTCGAGATAATTTTACTATAATTGTACAACTAGTGAAGTACCAGGGGGCCGTTTCTCGAAACCGTCATAATTACAAGATCAACGACATCTCGCCACTGTCACGCAACTTGTCAGCTAAGTGTTTCACAAAGCCGTCTTTGCCAAGATGAGCGACAACTTCCGCGACAAAGAGTTGTCACTGCTCCGAACCTGTCATATCTTTTTAATTGCTGTAAGGCGCCATCACAAGTCAGTTTGTTGCCATTCCATGGGCCGCGAAATTGACGATTAGTTTCACTATCATTTTGAGAAAAATAAAGACGAGTTCGGTCGTAATTCTCTGGGATGCGAAACGCAAATGTAAATGTGACCTCCTATTTGTGTACAGGACGTGTTTGAAATATAATTATAACGACTGAAATTAACTAATTGATTACAAGGTTCTACGAGAAGGCGGTAATAAAGGGAGAGTCTGGAATCTTTTGCTTTTACCTTTCAACTGAACAAAAAGTTCTTTTATTAACTATTCCGAAACTAGCACAAGACTCAAAAGTATATGAGTACAAAACAATGATAAATATAGTACGATCAAAGAAAACCAACACAGCATTGAGGTAGCCTACTCTGCATCTGTATGGTCCTAAACAAAAATAAAACAAAGTCATGAGCATAAAAGAAACAACAGTCATAAACAAAGCAGACTCTAGCAATCGTTAACATACAGTATATCCTACAGGTATCGACTATCATGCTATCTGTATTCGCAATCAAACTATGAGGGGGTTTTATACAAGTCAAAGTACCAGCAATGCATGCCTATTTATTTACACAAACAACAAACTGGATAAGAATACAAATGTATACTATTACTGGTCATCTTGATATGAGAATAAATGTGACCTGTACGATACATTTCTTACATTTAAGATACCACCGCTACCGCCAACATAATATATAACAAATATCTTATGGAGAGAGTCAAACAAAAATGTGTGATATGTAACCAAATTCTACATACAACCAAAGAAAAATGACTAATCACCTTGAATATGGAACTGCAACAGTCAGGGTCCTGTTTTCGAAGCTTACAAAGTAGGCGTTAAACTAGTAGATTCATCACCTATGAACATAACCCAAACAAGAGCATGTACCATCATAATGATTCGGATGGATTGACAAATCATACAAGAATACAAAATTAAAATACACAAGATATATCAATAAACTCAAATGACTTCTACAATACATATTCATGAGAGACGCTCAACCTTTATCAATATCGCCTCATGCAGCCTCATGATATATAACCCAATGACATAAACCTATACAACTATACTTCGAAAGTGATTCATCCCAATATAACAGTCAACTTTACCACCATTAGCTCAGTACATCAAATCTTCACTAACATCACATAACTGTATAACGGCATCCAACGTATATGTCACCAAACACACATAAAATACATGATTACAATTCCACAAAGTGATTAAAAGTACCTACTTTGATTCCAGCAATTCCTTGTTACATTCAGCTAAAGCAGCTCTCTATATCAACCGTTTAGGGACAGTGTTCTGAGTTTAATCTAATGAGTATCTTACAGTACAGATGCTTGTTTTTACCCTTTTTCCTAACAGAGGGGTGAATGGGGGAAACCACACGGTCACTGTTTATGTTACAGCTGCACAAGGACATAGGGCCTACTGTTTGGGGGATTATGAAGTTGCTGACCCGGGCGTAAACACAAGCTGATAAGGAGAATTATCAACTTATCTGGAAACTCTTTCCTCACTGCTCTGTATATAGAATACCAGGAGTCAAGGCAATAATGTTACATATATCATAAGAAATTATATACATGAAATAAATGTATATAATGGTACATAAATAATATAGAACAAGACACATAAATCAGTGTTATCCAGGTTTAGTTGGTTGTACAGAGTTATATCTAGAGATGGGGGGGGGGGGGGCTGGCAAGTAGGGTGTTGAGCAAATCACCATCTCACATAAAGAAGTGATAATACAAATTATACAGAAATTTTAAAAAGCTGAATATAAACATTAAATCACAAATCATCAAACTATAAGATATAAAAAAAAAAAAAAAGAGATAAGAATGTTACACACCGTTGTCCATACTCGATCCATAGTCTTTTCTTAGGATACCATCATACCTTTGGGGCCTATGTGCATTATTATTCCCTTTCTAATTACTTCTTCCAAATGATATTTTCAATATCAAATCAATTATATAACGAGTATTTATGAGACTCTAGAATAAAAACTGGCTGAATAAAGGTATTTTGCCTAAAATTCCTCGTCACAATAAACAAAAAAGTACGTATTGATAAACTGTTGTTGTTGTTGTTGTGTTTTGAGTTATTGGCGATTAGTCAGTGATTTGACTATTGTCGCCAAATTACTTTACGGCACGTGTTATATCTCTCAATTTTGGATTTTTTTAAAAATACATTTATTTCGTTTTATATTTATCTATCTTTTAAGATAGTATCGTAAAATAATATCGTAAGCAAAACATTCATGGGCTTTGTTAGTGTTTCTTAACAGTACGTGCAGATTATTTGTTATATCACATACACACCATACATAAATATGTATATAAGATAGCACCTACACAAGCTTCTATATTCAGTAATCTTATCATACCTTTTATCATTGTTGTTACTTTTTCTTATTTTATTTTCTTAATACATTATGTTATTATATTTTTAATGTACTGAGTGTAATTTAACATATTTATAATATCGTATTATGTTTTACTGTTCTTATTTTATTTTCTTATTACATTATGATTGTTATTATATTTTTAATGTACTGAGTGTAATTTAGCATATTATAATATTGTATAATGTTTTACTATTCTTATTTTATTTTCTTATTACATTATGTTATTATATTTTTAATGTACTGAGTGTAATTTAACATATTTATAATATTGTATTATGTTTTACTGTTCTTTTTTTTATTTTCTTATTACATTATGTTATTATATTTTTAATGTACTGAGTGTAATTTAGCATATTTATAATATTGTATTATATTTTACTGTTCATCAAGGGAGGTATTACTTCCTGATAGGGAACCGTTTCGTTCTGAGAAAGAACCGTACAATAGCTTTTTGTATACTGGACTCACTCTTTTTTAAGTATTCCATAATTTTTTCAGGTTGGGATTCGTTAATTTCTGTTAGAAACATAGCCCTTTCTATAATATAGTTAGGGCAATGTACTAAAAAATGTTTTACAGTCTCTATTTCACTGGGGCATCTATTACAGAAACCAGTAGCATGAATTCCCAATCTGAGGAGATCCTGGTTAAGTCCAAGGACTCCAAAGCGGAGTCGATGTATTATTGTTGAATGTTGTCTCTCTAATGAGCATATATATGGTTTATTAACATCTTTTTGATATGTTTTCAAATACGAGTTGGTTTTGTTCCACCTTTCTTGCCAAAGGAGTTTGGAACTTGTAGTAATTAAGCTTTTCATTTCTGACATATTTAGGTTATTATTGACTTCTATGTTCTTTACTAATGCGGCCTTTGCGTGGAAATCCGCCATCTCGTTCCCTTTTATTCCACAATGTCCAGGTATCCACTCTACATATATATCAACTCCTTTATTCTTTAAGTGAGTAGTCATGGTGAGAATTTCCAGAATAAAAGATTCGTCCTTCTGTTGTTGTAATGCAATAAGTGCACTCAGTGAATCACTAAAAATAACAACCCCCACATAAATGTCTAATTCATCTACCCATCTGAGAGCAAGAATGATGGCAGCCAATTCAGCCCTGTACGAAGAGGTGAAATTTGCTAACCTTTTGCTCCGATGTACAGAATAGTAAGGGACGTAAAAAGCAGCTGCAGAGGTCCCTCTTTCAGGTACTTTTGATCCATCGGTGTATATATGTAATTGAGTCGCCCATTTAGTATGTATGATTTCCAGGCTGCTTTGTTTTTGTTGTGTAGGATGATCTGTTTTCTTTATTCGAGTACTTAATTCCGTTGACACTGCCGGAGGGTAGAATAACCATGGTGGAAATGGGGAGTAGGTTATCGTTTCTATACGTTTTCCCAGCTTGCTTTGTATTCTATATCCAAAAGGTTTGTTTACGTTTTTCCCCTTCAAGTATTCAAAATGCCAACATGGTTCAATGTTTTTTAACAACGGATGATTCGCCCATCTTTCGATGTTTTGTCTATATTTACTTGAAAGCATTTGTCTTCTTATATCCAAAGGCATTTCCCCCATTTCCACCTGTAGTGATTCTAAGGAGGTTAATGGCAGCCCACCTGCGCATATCCTCAGTGCTTGGTATTGGACAGAGTCAATGGCTTTTTTGGTGGTAGCAGCTGCACTGTCATACGCCTCACATCCGTAATCAAAAAGAGACCTTATAATTGCTCTGTACACCATGATAAGTGATTTCGAGGAACTTCCCCAGTTTGTTCCAGTTAGACATCTTAAGATATTTAATTTTCTTTTACTTCTCGTGATTACATTTTCGATATGTGGTTGCCAAGTTAACCTTTTATCAAATATAACCCCTAAAAAGCGATGAGATTTTTCGTACATTAACACATTTCCATTCAGTTCTATATCAGGCGGTAGAACGGCATTCCAGCTTTTCGTAAAAAGTACGGGCACTGTTTTGACAGGTGAGAGTCGAAACCCCCACTCTTCAAACCAACGATTTAAAAGATTCAAATATTTCTGTATTTTTTCAGTAATATGTACAATGTTCCTGCCTGATATCCATATTGCGCAGTCATCTGCATACATAGATATGCTTACATCTTGGTCTGTAGGTATATCACCCATCATTATATTATATAAAAGAGGACTTAAAACACTCCCTTGTGGTAACCCGTTATGCGTTTTATAAGTTTTAGATTCTGTATTTCCAATTCGTACTTGAAAAGTTCGTGCTGTTAGATAATTTTCTATATATCTCAGCATGTTCCCTTCTATTCCATTTTTTGCTAATTTAAAAACCAGACCCTTTATCCAAACTGTATCGAAAGCCTTTTCGACATCCAAGAAAACCGCTATTACATGTTCATTACAATTTATACTCTTTTGGATGTCATTTTCTAATTGTACAATATTGTCCGTCACACTACGACCTTTCCGAAATCCACTTAAAAAATTGGGTAATAATTCATGCTTTTCAACATACCATTGTAATCTTTCTTTTATCATTCGTTCAATTATTTTGGCAAAACATGATGTTAAAGAGATTGGTCTATATGACGATGTATTTCTGGGATCTTTTCCATGTTTGAGAATAGGGATTATTATAGAATGCTTTAGTTGAATTGGAATTTCCCCGGTTTTCCATATTAAGTTAATAATGTTCAGCATGATTTCCTTGTTTGCTTTTGGCAGATTTTCATAAACAACGTAAGGTATATTATCTTTTCCTGGGGCAGTCTTTTTTCGCGATTGCACTGCCTTTTCAAATTCTGTTATAAAAAAGGGTTCATTTATAACATGATCTACATTTAAAATATGAATGTCATTATTTGGTGCCTTCGGTAATTCCTTATTAGTATCCCTGTCTTTTATTCCTATTTTTTGAAAGTAATTTCCAAAGGCATTTGCTTTCTCCTGATCGGAGACAATATCTTTACTATTTACAATCAATGTTGACATATTTTTTGTTTTTTTTATTAGTACACCATTCAGCCGTTTTATACAAGCCCAGATCTTAGATTCTGGCATATACTGATCAAGCTTTGTGCAAAATGCTCGCCAGTAATTTCGTTCTGCTTGGCGGAGCACACGCTGTGCTTCTGCTTTCTTTTTTAAGTACTCATCTACCTTTTCAAAAGTTATTTTCCGTGACATCTTATTACACATTCTATTTCTCTCTTTGATTTTCTCTGTACATTCTTTGGTCCACCAAGGCACCGGATTTTTAGAGACATTTCTCCTTTTCGGTACAGTTTCTTTTATACACAGTTTTAAATATTTCATGAAATTATCATATATTTCCTGTATATCATTATTTATAAGTATGAGATCATTTGTAATCATCTCTTCACATTTCTTAGCAAATTTTTTCAAATTTATATGTTTAAAGGAGATAAAATCATCTGCACTTCTTATTGAAGCATCTTTATATTCAGAGCTTTTCCCGTCTAAAGTTGTTTGGATATTTATTGGGAAGTGATCACTTCCAAAAAGGCTTTCCATGACTCTCCAAGTACTTCTACATGCCAGTGAAGGAGTGGTTATACATAAATCTAAGCATGACAGTTTTCCTGTTCGTGGATCCAGTCTGGTTCCTTCGCCATCATTCAAAACAGTTAGATTATGATGATTCACGAATTGTTCTATCACTTGTCCATTCTTGTCTGTTTTGTCACTTCCCCACATGGTACCATGAGCGTTAAAATCGCCTACTATAATAACTTTATCATTTTTATTAACGTCTTTTAATAGCACATTCATAATATATTCATTTAATTTCTTACAAGGATTATAAAAGTTCACAATTGATAACTTTTCATTTCCTGCGTGTATGTTTACTTGCTGCATTTCTAAATTTACATCATTCATTGGACCTTCATACTTGATTTTATTATGAACGTATATCGCACATCCTCCCCTCGCCTGATTTTCCCTATTTCTTGGGAGACATGTGTATTCAGGAATTTGAAGAACTCTATTTTCCTGAAACCATGTTTCTTGTATACATATCAAATCATAGCAATGTTTGTGTGTGTTCAAATACTTTATAAGTTCTTTTCCATGCCCTAGTAATCCCTGTGCATTCCATTGTAGTATGGAAAACAGTATCATCAATGTTTTAAGTATCGTTATCAACATTGTTAGCACTACTTATTTGCTGCAGCGATCTTTTCGCTGCGACCAGAACTAAATTATTTATTTCTTTAAGAGTTTTGCCCTCTGTGAGTGAGAGGATCAATTGACATATAAAGTCAATTATCTGATCATCATTTGCTGTAGCTATAAAGTTCGT